CCCTCTCTCTCCTCTCTCGTCTCTCTCTCTCTCTCACTCTCTCCCCTCTAGACTCGATTTCATTTTACGTTATTAAGTTTCTCCATTTCTGTCCCGCGACTTCGCTCAAGGGCGCCGATATTAAGAGAGAAGAGAGATGAAACAGATGAAACAAGATTGGTGAAGAGGGAGAAGGGTAAAAATTTGAAGAAGGCAAGAAAGGGGAATATGAGGAGGGAAAAGGAGAAGGAATAGAAGACGGGTAAGAAAAAAACGGAAAATGAAAATGAAAGAAAGGAGAGGACACGGAAAAGAAAGGAAAAGAGAGAAACGAAACCTAACCTATCCTAACCTAATCTATCCTAACCTAACCTATCCTATCCTAACTTAACCTAACCTATCCTATCTTAATTTAACTTAACCTAACCTAAACTAACCTATCCTATCCCAACCTAACCAGGGGGTCATTTGAGGGGAGGGGAGGCTAGATGGGAAAATACCCCGTAGACTCTGACCCCCTCCCACCCAGAAGGCCTGGCATGCCTCCCCTCCCCCCACCTCACTCTCAAGGATGGCATTTTATAACTCTGGTCGTAGCTTAAAAATGCTCCTAGTATAGCCCTTATTTCTTTTTTCTCGCTCTTGCTAACTTCGCTCGCCAAAGTCCCCCCAAAGAAAAAACTGAAATGACGTCCCAGGATGAGGAGAAAAATAAAAAGAAAAGAGAAAGAGAGGACAAGAACAAAATAGGGAGAAAATTAATAATCTGAAAAATGACAGGTGAGGAGAGACAAAAGCAGATTTGATAAGAGAAGAGAGGAAAGAATCTGGAGAAATGGGAAAGGAGGTGAACGATAAAGAAACGGAGACAGAAGCAAACGGAAAAATAGATAAAACGCAAATCAATGGGAATTGAAAAGAACGGAAAGATGGAAGAGAGAAAAATGATAGATAAGAGAAAAATAAACGTAGGCGATGGGGCAAGGAGACAGGAAATCATTTTACTTTTCTTTCCTTTACAAAACTGGAAATAAGCATTCTCGCCCTTGCCTCACTGGCGTTATTACCGTTTAGTTTTTAAATTTTCTACGACGAAAGCCGTTTCAAGATTTTGTTTAAGAAAAAACTAAGGAATCAAAATTCGACTTTATAAATCGAAAACTTCAGCTGTAACTATTAAAATAACGCTCGAAAATATAATTCCAAATTATCAATGATAATGTTTTGATGAAACATTTCAAACAAATCAACTGTTAAACTTTTATTTACGATGACGATGATAGGCCTATAAAGCTTTAAAAAAGGTATTGTCACTCCTTGCCCATATAATAAATGCCGGTAACCTGAGAGTCGAATAAATCATGACCATACACCCCAAAATGCCTTGCAAATACAAACAACAATTTGTCATATTGTTAGAAGTCAGTAGTGACTGCCGCTGCAACTTCGACAAACACTCACATGGCGGTGTGTGTGTGACACGAATTTGACACGGTATATCATGCATGACAGGAGCTTCACACAACAGAATTTAGATAATTCGTTTTTAATCTATCGCTAAAAAGTATAAGAAGCTTTTAATGCTCATGAATATACACGTCATGTATATAGCACGTCGTTGACATGCATAACACGAGCGTAACACGCCATCAACATGCACAAATCACGAAGGACAATGAAAAAGATTTACACTAACCTTGTATTCGATGTTTAATGACTTCCTGAAGGATAAAATTAGATGCGTTTCACCACACTTATACCTCACTCTCTCTTCTTTCGAAAATGGAACTTTTTCAAAAAAATATATTTTTCGCCAAACGCTACACTTTTTTCTTTCCTTGAATATCCTTACATTCACAAAGAAAGCCTCCTTCAACAATACCTCCCGGTTTAGCGGCGTCAATCTGACCGAATCTCCCTCAGAAAAAGGGTCTCAGCAGTGGGAATAACGTGTAATAAGGAGAGAGAGACGACACCACGGCCAACACGACCTCTCGCGCTCACACGACCAGGACAACGACCAAGACAGACGACGCTTCTCACCTGCCGCGTCGTCTGCAACGTCGTCGGCGCCATCTGTTGAGCTGAGTTGACACTAAATATAAGGCTGTGGTATGGCAACGCCATCTGTTGAGTGGCTTTAAAACTAGATTTATTTCTCGATATTTTGGCTTATATTTGATTTGGAATTCAGCATTATAGATTTTGGATGACGGAAATTATATGATATTTAATATTTAATTTACATATTTTGCTTGGATTACAATAGTGGTCATCTCTGATGTTTGAAATATTTTGTAAACAAGGTTGTGTCCGATTCTGATGCCTGAATTTTGTAGAGGAATCGTCATTTTGGCAAAATAATTCGATAAAGTTTAGCAAATTTTATATGTCAACATACATGAAAGTAACGAGTGTCATTATCTGATAATAGACACCCCTTATTCCAGCATTGCACATGCATATACATTATAACTGAACGACATCTAACATAAAGAAGTTAACGGATTCGAACGGCTTGTACGCCTACTTTGGAAACCAAAATCGGTTCAGACGAAAATCGACATGGATTTATCCCTAGAAATCTCTTCTGCTCTGCGACTTTTGGGAAATTCCACGAATTTTGGTCAGGCTGAATTCAAGAAAGTCCTCCAGAAAGCCACTGATGATTTAATTAACTCTGGGAAGGTGCCTGTAACATCTACTGGAAGTGGAGCTTGTGATGGTGCGGATATTTTTCATAATTGTTATCTGGTTTTGTAAATATACTTAATCATGCTTATATTATTTTTTGTTGTAGACGTTTGGCACTATTAGAAAGGGCCAAGACATGGAAAATTGGGGTTAGGGTATCAAGTAATTTATGACTGCCGGTAGAATTTTTTCAGAAAAATTCTGTTACCCCTTTGCCAGCCTTTGTGGTATATATAAACACCATTGAGCCTTTTCGCCATTAAACTGACCCAATGATGTATATATAATGCATAAATTTTCCAGCCATTTTATGGTATTGGTGCATACATTGTACCTTGTAAGATGGCATAGTGACATTAGAAATATGCAGTCTACATATAACCATGAACCAGCTATATTTGAGAAACACTTATTTTACCATGGTGCACTATGATTGGCTGGTAAGTCTGAGTATGTGCAACATCAGGCTCACTATTATTGGTTGTAATACAAAAGCAGGAACATCTGGATCAGTTTGAATCATGGAATCATGGAGAGAACAATGTTATTGAAAATTGGCAATGAATTTTTTTACTTTCTTGAGCTTGAAGCTGCCATAAAACCTTTGGGTAATTTCTAGAATATGTCTGCCAAATGGATTGTGATGATTTTGGTATCATTGGATTCCTTTCACTGTCTAGTTTCCAGATATATTGAAATTATTGTGTGGAACCCCCTCCAACCCTCCACATTCTTGGCTCCTGATAGTTGGCTAGTGCATGAAAGTTACCAGGGATATTGGCACTATATTGTCTAATAAAGGAGGCTGCCACCCCCCGACCCCCGCCCGGGAAAACAAAGGATCCTTCGCATATTCACGGCAGGAATGACAACTGGACAGACTTGGCAATGCGCTCCCGCATGGTGTTCTTCTGCTCATATGTCGAGGATTCTTCGTTTTCTAGGGTGGGGTTGGGCAACAGCCCAACAGGGGGTACAGTTCCCTGTATTAGACAATATAGTGACTGATTCTGTGTATATCGCTTACATTTTACCCCACAATTTCCTTGGTATCAGTCATACCCTTTCCTGCTATTGGGGGCAAGAGTGTGGGGTTGGGGGGTGGCTTCTGTGCAATAAAGCCTACATATTTGGATTTTAGATGGTGAATGAAATCCAACGATACTGAAATTGTTGTGGTCTGTTTGTCGGATGTTTTCTAGAAAATTACCAGCAATCGGAGTTGGAGCATAAAATCAATTATTGTTTAGGGTAGGTTTTGTTTGTTTTGTTTAGGTTAGGTTGGGTTGGGGTTGGTTAGGTTATGGTTGGTTAGGTTATGGTATGTTTGTTTGTTTGTTTAGGGTAGGTGAGCTGAGCTGAGCTGAGCTGAAGTTAGGAGTGCACAGTAACTGTATGTGGCACTCCTTGTATATAGCACTTGAGATAGCAGCTATTACGTCACAGTGATCGGTTAAATAACTTAAACCCATTCTGTATCCGGTTAAATAACTGACGTGTTTGCAGTTAAAAATGGTAAAATAGTCAGTCCTACAGCATTGCCATACACAGTAACTGCATGTACTGCCACCTGTATATGATGTCATGGCCATTGGCCAATCAGAGTGCTTCATGGCAGAACATGTGTTTTCCAAATGTCACCGGTTCACAGCACTATATCCACTGTCTTAGAAATAAGTTTGTGGAATACATGTGATGCTCCTTAGCTTATGCATTTTTGAAATGTTCAAGTAAATGTTGGAACAGCTAATTCAGTATAACAACTACTCATGTCACAGCCCCAGGACATCAGCTTTGCCTTATTATCAAAGCTGTCTATCAGAATAACACCTGATCCCATGAGGTCAATGATCTGCTGACAGAGGAATCAGTGTGTTCTTTTAGGGTATGGGCATGTGTGCACCTGTATGTGTTAGCTTGTGTTTATGCATTTTGATATGCAGGTGGACTTTGTGTCCTTCCTGAATATTCCCCTCATCATGGGCATGGTTGAGCGCTGGTAAATTTCCTCATGGACCAGTGGAAATCCTGCAGCAGACCATAACTGAGGCTCTTCTTGAAGGCCTGCTGAGTCAGTCTCACTCCAGGTGTTTTGTACACTCATGGTGAGATGTTTCCATCACCCAACAGAACATTCCAGTCAGCCTCCCCTCAAGCAAATTTTTTCATGACAAAATAGCAATATCACTTATATCTAATGGCTTAAGAATTTTTACTAGATCAATTTATTTTCAATATAAGTTTAATATTTCTGTGAAACATGCCCGTGCTGAAAGAGCTTGAATCTTACACATAAAAGAATTATACTTTGATTGTGATATTAACCCAACTTTGACGTGGAAATGGTGCGTTCCCTTTGGCAATGCTTGGTTAAATGTTTCTGCACATAGATAAGCAGGAAAATGCCATTTTTTTACTAATGCTATCAATATTGATACAGTTATTTTTGTTATAAACATTTTAAGTACTATATTGTTACTGACATTACTGACAACACTATTAAATACTAGAAAATTGTATTGAAAATCAAGGAAAATGGTAAACAGGTGAGACAGGTAGTGTGCGTAATTGGCTCATTGATGACAGTACTTGTGGAGCCATCTGTATGTAAAAATAATTACTAAATTCAACTCACACATTGGAGCATGCCATGTGCGTACATGCCATGCCCAGCGACATGGGGTTAACCATTTAACATTTGTGTTTTGCATATCTTATTAATGATAAATTACAATACAAAAGTTGTGGTAAACACTGCTGGTTCTATCTATATTTGAGAGAGTTCTGATGCCAAAACTTACCCTTTCGTTCAGACCAATAAAGGTAAAGTCTTAGGGATCAGGGAGTAATCAGGAATAGACTGTAACAATAGTAGGGGAACAGTAAATACTTCTATGATAGGGGTAGGAATTGGAGTTTAAGTATTATATATTGTATAAAAAACACATGGGTCCAAAGGTAGATGATGTGCATTTGCGTAGATTTTGCAAGTGTTTTTTATGTTTGTTAGGATGTTTTCCTAAATTACCAAATTTATTTTGTGATTACTGCTTACATAGTTATCAGATTCAGTGCCAAATATTTTTAAAAACTGTCTGTTATCAAACATAATAACACATAAGGAGATTTAGTAATTTTTGTAGTAAAATTATGATTTAAAATTGATTTGAGATGATGGAATTGGAAACAAATTCACACTTTATTCTATTTCAGGTACAATTGCCAGAAGTCATGCTGCCTTAGCAACTCTTTTCATTGAGGCTGTGAAATCAAATCAGGATGGAACGATCGTCACCTCAACCCTGGAGGACTTCAATTGGCCAGCAGGTAGAATATCATTATTACCCATATTTTCTCCATATTTTACACACTTTTTCCTGTAAAAATGAGTATCAAATTTGATTTTCTATTGTGAGAAATATTTCATTTCATATACTGTGATCTGTAGTATGTATCATATTTCTTTGTGTCTTGCTGTCACACTAGTACCTTTCCATCAATTTTTTGACAATGTTATTGAAGTTAGTACAAACATTCTCGAATATCTCTTGATTTGAGTATGCCTGGCTGAAAAAGTTGACGGAAAGGTTTTCAGACGGAAATGATCATTATCGTCTGACTGGAAAATCGACAATTCGCTCAATTTTGGACATGTTTCCAGAAAATTGTTTAAAAATTTACAGAAAAAGTGCTAGTGTGACAGCACCTTTACTTTGCATTCATGATTGCAGTGCATTAAACCCAAACTTTTTTTTTTGTCATCTCCAGAACGTATCTCAGAAACAGTCAAAGAACTGGATTCTTGCAGAGAGAGAATACGGTCAAAACTTGCATCAGTTGGCACTTATCCTCCTCACATTGTTGATGTGGACTGGAAGCTGGATTACCATGTCCGGGTAATGGTGAAGATTGTGTGCATTTCTTTTTCTCATTCTTATTGTTGTTTTGCTTTTAATTTTTTTCTCCTGCTTGTTAGGGTCAGTATGTATACATGTGTGTGTGTGCATGCGTGCACTTGTATGTGTGTAAATATCTTAGTATATATGTATGTTTGTATATGTGTACAGTTGCACAGAAAAAAATTGTTAGAAAATCATGCTAAACATTCTGACACTAACAACAATTGTTGAAATATAGTTGTTAATGATACAAAACTGTTGGAATCCCTGATTTACCAACTTCTTTTAGATATGTGTGGCAAATCAAAAATTGAGAGACTATAAATTTACAGGTAATTTATGATATGGTATAATACTTCATCACTAATCAATAGGCCATCTTAATCGCTTTTTTAAAATGTTAGCTGAATCGTGACAACATGGGAGGAGACAAGTATGAGGCATTGTCAGACGATTGATATTACAGGTGCTACTCACATGTATTATTCCTGATATATTATCTAATTACTATTGTCATATACCATTATGATCAAAACAAGGAAAATAAGATACTAATATTTTCAAGTTTAACATTTTATGTTCCTACCCCCTGCTGATGAAACTCAAGGCATAGACGCCACTAAATAGGCTGTCACGGCATGGCCTTCCTCATTTTGTAAACATTTCTATTCTTGTATAGCATTATTTATGACTGCAACACGATTGTGAGTGTGGTTTTGCTGCATGCATTTTGACATGGCTGCCCACACGTTTTCTATTGGGTTGAGATCTGGAGATCTGGGTGGAAGTGGCAGAAGCATGATGTCACGGTGTTCATGAAACCAATTCTGGACAACAATGCTGATGTGGATGGGACTGTTATCTTTAATAAGAAAGAAGGGCTCAGTTTCAGGAAACTCAATACCGTTACCTGCTGTAAGGAAATCCA